AAAAAAAAATTAAAAAAAAAATCTAGGTCCAGCCGTTAAAAAAAAAAAAAAAAAGAGCTCCAAAAGTCACAAATCAGATCCTCTTGGGCTCAGTACCTCTCATGGCTCCCCAGTGCCCCCAGGATAAGACCTGACTCCTCCACATACAAGGACCCACCAGGAAACTAGCTGCTGCCTTCCTTCAGGTCTTCAAACACCCAGGTTCCCCAGCCTGCAGCACTTCTCCTGACTGCTGCCACCCCTCACCCTATGATTTCCTCCTCCAAGCCCTCCTGCCTGCCCCTCAGCCCCAGCAGGCCTCCCTGAGAGGTCACCAAAGGAAAAGCACCAATGACAGGTATGACTGAATCTGAGGGGACTGCTTTATAGGAGGGAGGTATAGGTATGGAAGGCCAGGTCCAAGACGGTCCATCTCCCTCCTTTAACCCAAATCTTCTCTTTACAGACAGGGCAAGCAATGCCCCAGGAGGTGTAACAAGCCTCCCAGGACACACAGCACCTACACACAGGCCCACTCACCAGCCTTTACCTCGTCTTTCTGAGATGTGGTAATGAAATTCATAAGTGGGTGTGTGCACGGGGCTGGCAGCAGTGACACAAACACCCACGTTCTTTCTGGGTTGTTTCCCTTCTAGCTACCAGTCTGGAGTGACAGAATCAATGCTGATAGATAAGGCAGAAAAAAGAGGACGGAGGCGCTGACGCTGCCCTTCACCCAGGGAATGCGCATCCACTTACTTTCAGCTTGGCTGGCTGGGACAGGGTGTGTGGGGGCACCTGGGGCCTTCTCCCTCCAAGCAGTTCTGCAGGCCCAGCCCGAAATCCAAGCCCCGGTGGCCGCAGGTGCGGCCTCCAGAGCTCCGGGGTTTCGGTAGCGTGGACAAGGGGCTCCAGGGTGGACAAAGCCCGATCCGGGCCTGGCCAGGCGGCACCGCCTCTCCCGGAGCTGGGCGAAACCACCGATAGCGGGGGAGGATGCGCGATGCGGGATACAGGCATGGAGGCCAATGGCAGCACAGGAAGACGGGCTGATACCATGGCAACAGCCAATGGCGGCCCGGGGCGGGGACCAGCGGTGGCAGCGGGGCGTCGGGCCTCAGCTCTGGCTCAGGGGTTTAGGGTGCATGAACGTGCGGGATGTGTGTGTGGGGGTGAGGTCGATGAACCCCTCCTAAGGAAGGGGGACGCCTCGAGGATCAGGAGCCCGTGTCCTCCATCCCATTGCAGGGTAAAATGGCCTCTGAAACCTCCTGTGCCTGGATTTGCACAATCCCAGTAAAACACCAAATCTTGTATATTACATCAGAATCCTTACCCGGGGCACGGGGAGCAGGTTTCCCAGGACAGAGACAGGTAGCAACCAGACCAGCAGTCTCCCCACCAGCTCAGCTCAGCTTGTGTGGATGTATTAAGGCAGAACAGAGCCAGGGAGTGTGTTAAGGAGATGGGTAGGCATGCTGGGAAACACCTGGGGACTCCTCCTTTTTCCTTGTCTCATCGCCCGAGTATCACGCTCTCCATCTGATATCTAAGACTGTCCCTCCTTACATGTCTCTCTTCTCTCAGTTCTGTCTCAATCTATCACCTTGGCTCTGCCCCTCCTCCACACAAATCCACCCTCACAGGCCGGAAGCGAGAGGAAGGAGGGGCCAGTGATCTCAAGATTGTATCCCCAGCTGTCCCTGGTACCCAATGGGTCCCCAGAGACCACTTGAGGGTTTAACTCTCAGAGCCCAATTCTCCCTGCTGCCAACACGTGTTACAGGACAGAGCAGGTGGTCCCTTTGGGAAGACACTGCCTGTCACTTAACAGCAGTGGGGGCAGAAAGAATCATTGACCTCTCACCTCTCATTTTCCCATCTGTAAAATGGGGGTGGGAAGCTGTGGAAATGACAGGCAAAGAGGAGCCTAGTGCAGAGGGAGAAGTATTTTTTTAAATGTATTTAGGTCAGGGTCTAGGGTGTCTACAGGGTCTCATTACACAGATCGGACTCGTAGTAATTCTCCTGCTTTCAGCCTCCCAAGTGCTGGAATTACAGGCACATGCCACCATGCCCAGTCTCAACTGCTGTCTCAGTGTGCCCCAGAATGGGACCAGCATGGCAAGCCAGGGATCGAACCCTGACCACTGTGCTCTGCCTAAGCAGGCGCTTTAGTCTGCTGAGCTATCTGGTCAGCCCTTAGTGTTTGAGAAGGAGAGACTGGGCATGGTGACATGTGCCTGTAATCCCAGCTCTTGGGAGGCTGTAAACAGGCAGATCACTACAAGTCTGATCTAGTAGTGAGACCCTGGACACACTGTAGATCTTCCCTAAAATTAAAATAAATAAATAAATAAATTTTTGAGGATTTTTTTTGGGGGGAGGGGCTGGCTCAGGCTGCCTTAAGGGCGGGTCTGGTGTGGCATATGGTGCTGGGGATCGAACCATAGTCCCTTGCCCCTGACTGGTTTTGTTCAAGAAGGCACTTTAAACAATGGAGCTAACCCACCAGCCCAAGGGAAGTATATTCTTTCTTGTGGGGTTGGAGGCCCCCCAAGTACCTATGGCAGCAACATCAGGACCCAAGAGGACTCGTGTCTCACCATCTGGGAGCTTCCAGAGCCAGCCATTGGTGTGAAAAGTGAGGTAAGGGTCCAAGAGGGACAAGGGCTGGAGGCTGAGGGCAGATCAGTGAGAGCTCAGGACATGGGTGGCTGTGGAGCTCTAAGGTAGAAGGGTAGAGGGCATGGCTAGGGCAAGCCACCAAATGGGATGGAAGCTGGACATGGTGCCACATGCCTGGAATCCCAGCACTCCAGGAGGATAAGGCAGGAGGATCATAAGTTCTACCCCAGCTGGACGACTGGACGATTTAGCAATATACAAAAGGGATGGGGATGAAACTAAGTGTGAAGACCTTGGGTACAAGTCCCACAGTACCCAAGTGGGTGGGGAGATAGGAGAGAGATGGTTCCTCTGGGGGACTCACAAGAGCCCAGGCCAGATTTGGGCAAGGCTGAACTTGGGCTGGGATATGGAGTCCACAGCCCT